CTTCAGCGGGGCAGTTCTCAGGTGTGCTCTCCACAGTCTCTCAGAAGGTCCCCAGTGGGATTGAGCCTGAGGTGCCCAAGCAGTAACCTGCATAACCTTGGACAGGTTCTTCAATGTCTGAGTTTTAGCTTCTTCTAGGATGGGTGTGGGGATTAAATGAGGCAGTAATGTCACCACCAACACAACTAGCTTCCATGCATTCATCAATTCCGGGGAGCCAACCATTTTTTGCTTAGTTCTTTAATCATGTTCTCTTATTCTTGCAATGACTGCATGAGGCAGGCACTTTACTTGTGGCTACTAGCTGTGCTGTGAGAGTTCAGAAGTGGACAGATCGTTGGGCCAGGGACTTAGAGAAAGCTTCTTAGAAAAGGTGGAATTTCAGCTGGGACTAGACAAGTTGGGCCTCTGATAGCTTAAGAGGAATAGCATCATAAAAATATGTTTGGTCTGTTTTAAGTCCCTCATTTTCTAAGTACAGCTTCCACAGAACAGGAAATCCGATTTTAACAATGAGAGAACTAGGCTGGGCATGGTGGCTCAGGCCTGCAACCTCTGCACTTTGCGAGGCCAAGGTGGGTGGATCACCTGAAGTCGGGAGTTTGAAATCAGACTGGCCCGTGTGGTGAAACCCCTTCTCTACTAAAAATACAAAAAATTAGCTGGGCCTGGTGGCGCATGCCTACTTGGGAGGCTGAAGCAGGAGAATCGCTTGAACCCAGGAGACGGGGGTTGCAGTGAACAGAGATTCTGCCTCTGCACTCCAGCACTCCAGCCTGGGTGACACAGTGAGACTCTGTTTCAAAAAAAAAAAAGAGACAGCTAAAGTTTGAAAGGATAAATAATTCATCAAAGATTCATAATTAGATTCTAACCCAGATGCGTTTGTTCTAGGGGCCAACATTTAGCAAGTCATACTTTTAGAGTATAGGATGTAGCAAGGAAGCTGTCCTCCTCCTCCTCATCATCATCATCATCAACAATCATCATCATCGTCCAGTGCCCAGCACAGAGCGGGTGATCCATATTTATGGAATAAAAAAATAACGAATGAATGAACATTAGTCCTTTTAAGATCGTGAACTTTCTTTTGTTCTTCGTTCTGTCTTTAGGCAGCAAGAGCAGTCCCTGTGACAGGGTAGTTCCCTGCTTCTAAGAAAATCATGGTAATGGAAATGTATTCTTTGTTTCAGCATTACAAAAAAAAGAAAGTGCCAGAAATAAAATGGCCTTAATATAGGAACAGTATTTATCTTCAGGTATTGAGATAATAATTGATTTTCATTTTATGCCTTAATATCTTTTCTGATGAACCTGGATTAATTTCTTAACTGAGAAGAAATAATCTCTGTTTGTATAAAAAGTCAGTCTCAAAGCATCAAATGAGTCTCCAAGTGCCATGGGTGAGATATGGAAATAGACGTAGCTGCTAACCTACTTTGAGGGAGTTCAGAGTCAAGGTAGCAGGATGTGAACTGACTTTGGTGTCACACCTCACACAGCTCTTTCACACTTCATCTCTCTGGAGGTTCACGATGGTCTAGTGACGTAGGCCAGGCAGGGATTAGTGGCCTCATTTCATAAACCTGAGGGCTAAAGAGGCTCACTGACAAGGGTGAAGCTCTTTGGGGGGGTGCAGCTGGGACTGGAACTTTCGATGTTAGGCCCAGCGGCCTTCCCCCTGACCCCAGCGGCCTTCCCCCTGACCCCAGCAGCCTCTCATGAAGACCCACAGAAGGAATGGGACAAGAGTGGAGGTAGGTGGGTACATCACAGACTCATGGGACAGCATCTGCAAGACCCTTTTATGATTTATGCAGAGGAAGCCTGGCTTGGAGTTTTTTCAAACACCCAGAACAGGATTTTAGTTCTGCCACACACTGTCTTGGACACATTATTTCATATCCTGTGAGTTTCTATTTTTTCATCTATGAATCTGGCTCAGTGTCTCCCTTGTGTGGGTCCAGGTGGCACCAAGGAGGTGGGAATTCTGCAAGAGTAGCTGTTGATGGTCATCATACTTGTGCTGTCTGTGTGCATGGCTTTCATTTTCCTGACCTGTGTTGATACTTGTTGGTGTTCATAAATTAATATACCCATGGGAATTAGGCAGTTTTTGCTGAGTAGCAAAAACTTCAGAATTTCAGAGGCTTGTTTGACAGCAGATCTGTATCTTCATGCTCAAGGATCTGTGGGTTGGTTGTGGTTTGGCTGATCTTGGCTGTGCATGGCTGGTTCATGCTGGACTTGTGGTTGGTGGTTGGGTTCACATCTGCTCCACATGTCTTTGATCCGAGTTCAGACTAAAAGGCAGCAACAGACAGTGGCCATGGAGACGTATTCCTTTTGTGGTGCATCATAGGAGGGCAAGAGGGAGGGACTTGGGACCAGCACACTGTCACCTCTAGCCACATTCTATTGGCTAAAGCAAGTCAGTGATCCAGTCCAGAATCCAGTGAGACAGGAAAGTAAACACCACTCACTCTAGTGGGAAGTACACAAAGTCCCATGACAAAGGGCAGAAATATATAGTGCATATATAGTCATGTTGGAAGTGAAGAACTGGGAAGACTCATCCAGCCTACCGTCCTAACTCAGCTGGCCCACTTGGGTGAAGCAAGCAAAGCAAAGGAATAGCAAACTGAGGAGTGGGCTGGGGGAGGCACTGACTGTTTATGAAAGTAACAGATAGTTATTTTTCATAAGCATGTGCTTCATAAATTTGAGTTCTGGAGGTAAATATTATAGGAAGATCATGATCTTTGATTCTGAAGGAGAGCATATGCTTATCCTTTGCCAGTACCACACTGTCTGGATTTCTGTAGCTTTGTAGGTTTCAAAGTCAGGAAATAGGAGTCCGACATTGTTCTTCATTTTTTTTTTTATTGTTCTTCATTTTTAAGATTGTTTTGGCTATCCTGAGTCCATTGCATTTCCATATGGATTTTAAGATCAGCTTGTCAGTTCCCCATCTAATTTAAATTTGTGATTCAGTGCTCAGGAAGGTTCAATTGCTGTTGGCATCTAAGTTTGAAGGAAGTGTTATTAATTATAAATAAATCTGTTTATTTACAATAAATAACAAATATTTATTAATATTGCTGTGCTGGGCATTGTATAGTCGGTGCTGCAACATACACTAATAAACAAATCCAAACACAGTCTTTGTGCCCATGTAGCTTATAATTGAATCAAATTAGCAGATATTAATCAATCTTTACATTAAAAACTGAGATGAATGCCATTGTCTAATCTGAAGGTGCAGAGTTTCTCTGAGAGTATAACATTTAAGGAAGTACAGGAGCTACCTAGACCCAGAAGATGAGAGAGGAAGCCTCCCAGGCAGAGAACAGCATGGGCTAAGGGCCCATGGTGGAATGACTGCAGCATGTTCCAGGATCTAAGAAAATGTCCTATGGCTGCAGCCTTGTGCCTGGTGGACAGGTAAGGTTAGAGAGGTGGGCAAGAGTCAGAACGTGTTTAATGGTTTGGATTTTTATTCTGAAGCACTGACAAGCTATTGAGGGAAGTTAAGCTGGGGGTGGAGAGTTGAGGGATGACACAATCAAGTTTGTGTTTTCACAATTGTATTCTTCACATCATTCAAGTGTTAAGTGTCAGTCTTATTTGGATCTGGGTTTTAAGAAAACACTTGTTAAAAACAACATTTTTGACACTGATGAGACTATTAGGAATTTGAACATTGTGTGAATATTTGATGATATCAAGGAATTACTGCCATCTTTTTTAGGTATGGTAGTGGTTTTACAGTGATATTTTTTTCCAAAGACCTTATCTTAGAAATCCATACTATAATACTTATGACTGGAATGATAAGATGTCTGGCAATTTCCTTGAAATAATACTGCATGGGCGGGAAGGATGAGGGTTTGGATGGGGTAGGTATGATTATGGGTTAATGTGATTGGGCTGGTTAAGGGGTTCAGTGGATATGTGATATAATTCTCTGTTTTTGTGTCTGTACACAATTCCCTATAATAAAAAGTAAACACACACACACACACACACACACACACACACACACACACACAAAAAAAAAAGTATTCTGCTTTCAGCATGGAAGACTAGATTTCAGAGGGAGAAATGGTGATAAGGGGAGATCAGTTAGGAGGCAGTTGTAGAGGCCCAGATAAGAATGATGGAGGCTTCGTCCAGGGCTGGACCAGTGGAGGTGGGGAGAGAGAAGTGGAAAGATCTTTAGGAAGTAAAGTAGACATGAATTGGGGATGCATTGGATATGGGGGTGAGGGTGATGGTGGAACCGAGATGTCTCTCTGTTGTTGTCCCTAGATGGAGATGCCACACTGAGCTAGGAATCCCTGGACAATAACCAAGGAGGTCCCTTGGCTCAACTTATTTTTATATCCCCTCCTCTGTTTCCCTCCATTCTGCAAATATTGAAGCTGTTCCCTTATGTAACATCCTTTATCCCAGACTTCCTGTGCTCTGTGCACTCAGCAATTAATTAAGCTTGGGTATGCATGAATTAATTAAAATCCTCTCCCAGGTTCAGAGGGGCTGTCCTCAAATATGTATATTCATCTATATCTGCCTTCTTCCTGGAACTGGTTTCCTTTGCCGGGTGAACACTTTTGCTTTCTTGTGAGCACAGAGCTGCAGGTGTCTGACTGTCTGTCTGTTGCATCAGTCAGCACACCTTAATTTTTTGTTTAGGAGCCTAGGTCTAGAGAAGTTAATGACTTGTAAATTGCTTTCCAATGTAGAGCTAGAAATAGAATGCCGGAAGGATTCCTGAGCACTTAACTTGCACAGGGATTCGATGATGAAGGTATCAGCCCCTCCGTAGGGAGATGAAATAGTAGTTTCCCTCATATTCCTGGACAGCAACTCTGTGGTGCAAGAACATTCCTGACAAAGGTGCAGCCTCCAAATGAAATCTAATGTTGGTCTGAGACAATGTCTTCTGCCCAGTTTCACTGGATGACTCTTGCCATCTTTTTTTCCTGCCCCCTATCCAGGTCATTTTCTGATGTGACGGCTGAGACATGAGATCTTCAGCCTCCAGGCTCTCCAGTTTTTCGTCGAGAGATTCACTATGGAATCGGTGAGTGGTCTCTAGCCCATCCTGTCCAGAGAACCTGGCCTGGGAGATACAGAGGGATTCTTCTTGGGAGTTGAAATGCAACATTTAATCAAACACAAGCACTGGAATCTAACAGAGACCATTGGCACGATTGTTAGCAGAGAATAGATCTTTAGCATTTGTAGATGTGCAGACAGTCTACTGTGTTTTCTGTCACATTATCCATTGCCTTCATTTAGAAGGAAAGTTGTCTGGGTAGTGGTGCCTGTAAGAAGTCAAGAGTAGCAACAACAGTGACACCATCAATAATATAAGGTGCTATAGGAGTCCACTGCATTTTAGGCTGTTTAAAAACATTTCAGGCCAGGCACAGTGGCTCATGCCTGTAATCTCAGCACTTTGGGAGGCTTAGGTGGGTGGATTGTTTGAGGTCAGGAGTTCAAGACCAGCCTGACCAACACGGTGAAACCTTGTCTCTACTAAAATACAAAAATTAGCTGGACGTGGTGACAGGTGCCTGTAATCTCAGTTACTTGGGAGTCTGGGGCAGGAGAATCGCTTGAACTCAGGAGGTGGAGGTTGCAGTGAGTCCAGATTGTGCCGCTGCACTGCAGCCTGGGCAACAAGAGTGAGACTCCCTCTCAAAAATTAAAATTAAAAATAAATAAAATAAAATTTCATGTACTCTACCCAACAGTCCTGCCAAGTAAGAATTTCTACATTCATTTTACAGATAAAGAACTTGCCCAGCTAGATAGAAGTCAATTTTCCCTGACTGTAAGACCCTTGCCTTTTTTTTCTATGCCGTGTTACCTCTTGGGAGAGGTAGAGGTATGATTTATTCCATTTTGCAGCTGGGAATCCTGAGGCCTGATGTAGGGACACCTGATGAAGAGTCCAAGGAGCCTGGCCTTAGTAGATGGAGGTCTGTGTTAGAGGATGATAAAACATGACACTGGACAGGAAGAACCATGAAAAGCTAGGCAGGGAAATCTTACAGAGTCTGAGAAGCATAAAATTCGCAGGGTGACTGGCACAGGGGTGACCTGTTGGGGCCAGGGTTTCTAAGAATTCCATGTGGTGGCAAGTGTGTGGATGCTAGAAGGGGTGGTTGAATCCTGGCCCTGGCACCCACTTGCTGTGTGGTCTCCCACAAGTCACTGACTTTCTCTGTTTTTTTCTGTTTTCTTATCTATGAAAAAGGGGTAATATTTATGTTTCAGATTTTTTTGTGTGTGTAGTTTAGGAAAAATATATGGTAAAGTGTCTTACGTAAAGTAGGCACAGAGGGCATTGTAATCACATCAATTTTTAGGGTGAAAATGGTTTTTAAAGGATGATAAGGTAAGCAAAAGTGTCCTAAATGGATGGACGAGGTGAGGGGCTGGAGGCAGAGAGGCTTTTGATGTGATCCAGACATGATACCGCCTTCCACGGTAAACGAAGCTTTACTTTTATTTTCAAAATTTGTGTATTATAGGATTACTGCTGGGGTTTGAATTCTGGATCCATGGTTTTGTAGTTACGTGACCTTTGTTTTCTTCTTTTTTTAAGTCAAGAGTTCAGCACAAAATGGCATTCGTTTTGCAGGTATCTTTTTAGGTGATATTAATTATAATTGCAATAACTCAGTACATTATTAGAATCAGTTTTTGCTGGCAATGACATAAAGTCTAAAAGAACATTGGCTTAGAGAAGTGTCTCTCTTACCTAAAAGTTCAGGTACAAGTAGTACAGATTTTCTACAGCAATCTATGGGAGACCTGGGCTTTTTCTCTCATTCATCTGTCATATGAGCCTCCATTCCCAAGGTCACCTCATGGCCCCATTTTAGTTGCTTCTGCTCTAGCCATCACATCTAACAGCAGGAAGAAAGAACGAGAAGGAGAAAGGCAGGTCCCATCCTCTAAGGATGTTTCCTGGAAGTTGTGCCTCCTGCTCCTACTTATATTCTATTGGCCAGAATTTAGCTCTCTGGCTAAATTTTGCAGCAGAGAAGGCTGGGAAGTGTAATCTTTATTCTGCAAGACTGTGTGCTTACCATATTGAGAATTGTTGCTATAGAAGAAGAGAACCAATCTTGGAGGACAAATCTTTCCTTGCCATGCTAATAGTTCTTGAAAGATTCTGCTGAGACAATAGGCTTGGCAGCCAGCCAGCTGGAGTTTGAATGCTGGATCCATGGTTTCATAGTTATGTGACCCCGGAAAAGCTACTTAACTCCTCTGTGCCTCAGCTTCTTCCTGTTCTCTCCTATTTTATACAGACTTATAAGGGTTGTTTTGAGTACTAGTTAAGGTAAAGCACTTGGAACAGTGCCTGGCGCGAGGTAAGTGCTGTGTAAGTTTCGCTATTATCATTACTCATATTGGTACCGGTATCTCTCTGCTGCTTCTACTACTGCCGCTTCTGCTGTGACTAGTGCTACTTTTGTTACCATTGTTACTATTCATACTTTCACTCTTACCATGACTGCTGCTTCTAGTGATACTCCTACTATGGCTTCTACCGTTACCTCTGCTGCTGCTAGTACTGCTGTGACTACTTCTGCTTCTCTTGTACTGCTGTTACTACTATACCGTTATTATTTTTAAATTGTATACTCATAGCATGGTAAGTGCTATTTTTCCCAATAGAAGATAAAAGTCAGAGGATAGTAACTTGTCAGATGCCATCCATGGTCTACCCTTGGGTGGGTAGGAGGTAGCGACTTCAAGGAAGCATAGGGCGGGTTTCTGCGATTCTGCTAATGTACTGTTTCCTCATCTGGGTGATGGTTCCTGATCTGGGTGATGGTTCATTAGTGTAAAAGTTCCTTGCATAACACACTTATGACAGAGACAGTTTTATGTATGTATCTTTATATTTCAATAAAAACATGTCATGTAGCTGGAAAGTGGTAGAGCATGAGTGAAACCTACACTTGCCTGATTCCAAAGCCTGTGCTCTTAGCTATAACACAAGGCTAGCACCTTTATTTCTATGATTGATTGATTGATTCATTCATCTAACTTGTATTGATAACTGCTTATTATTTATGTGCCAGGAACCTGGCAAGGATGACTGGGATACAAAGGTGCATGCCATAGACGATATTCTGCCCTCATGGGGCTTCCTCTCTAGAGGAAAAGGAAAGAGGTAAATACCATTCAGATTAGCAGCCACCAGGTTAGGTTCAGTGTGGGATGCCCTGGGGCCACAGGAGGGGCATGGAAGCTTACCCAGTCCCACAGCCTGCATCTGCTAAAATAACATAGATGTGTCTTTCCACCAACTCCCTTTGATGAGGGAAAAGTTCCCACATCAGTGAGTAAGCTGACCACAGGAGGGCTACATGAAGAAATACGAAGCAGTTCCCTCCATCCCTTGCTTAATCGGCACTAAGAAGGGGTCAGCTTTTCTGTTCTTGTTTTCACTGTCACAGTTGTGAACCTACCTGGTGTTCCACGAGGTAGACAAGTGCTCGCCCTTGTGAGTTCAGTAGAAGACAGGGGAATCGCAGGAGCAGAGACTTCACTTACCCAATCTGTATACAGGGACCTCTAATTTAAAATAAATATGTGGGTTGGGCATGGTGGCTCGTGCCTGAGATCCCAGCACTTTGGGAGGCCAAGGCGGGTGGATCACTTGAGGCCAGGAGTTTGAGACCAGCATGGCCAACATGGCGAAACCCTGTCTCTACTAAAAATATAAAAATTAGCCACGCCTGGTGGTGGGTGCCTGCAAGTCCCAGCTGCTTGGGAGGCTGAGGCAGGAGAATCACTTGAACCCCAGAGGCAGAGGTTTCAGTGAGTCAGGATTGTGCCACTGCACCACAGCCTGGGCAACAAAGCGGGATTCTGCCTCAACAACAACAGCGACAACAAAATTCTCATAAAATAAATATGTGAATGCAATGAATGAATAAAATCACAGTCCACAGCAATGCAGTTGTCATCCCTGGGAAAACTCAATTCCAAGGGAATAAAGAATAAGACCAGTTTCTTTTATTCACCCCAAATACCATCAGGGAGAAAGGAGCACAGCACATGGAAGTGGAATGGAATTCTGAATTCTGATCTAGCAGTAGAAATCAGCTGGCCTTATGTTCATGTTTTTCTCCATATGTAGAAACAGAGTGACCTAAACTTTAGACCCTCCTAAACCAAGCCCATGAGAAACCTCTGTGTCTCCCCCTCCCTCTTTTGCCTTTCTAAATGTCAAGCAGACGCCCTGTCATTATCATGCCGCCGGCTGTCAGCCCAAATTGAATTTCCCTGAGCCCAGCTGATGTCCCTTTTTGGCTGCAGGGCAGGGGTCAGGAACGCATGCTGCACATGGACAGGAAGCGTGTCCCTGGAGCGGAACGCAGAAGGCTGACCTCTCAACTCTGCATTTCTAACATAGTTGGAAGGGTTAGGAAGCCTTATGATTTCTGGATGTAAAAGAAAAAGAAATGTGTTTTAGAAAAACTGTATTGAAGTTCTGCTGCTAAAGCCCTTTCAAAATAATTGAGTCTATTTAAAATTCAACTGGCTATTTCACAGCATTGACTTTACCTCAATTAGACACATAAAGGAAGGAAGGTTCTGGCGAAACTGGGAGATGGGAAATGATGATCCTGGTGTTGTCTTCCTCCCACCCTTCGTTTTTCCCTTCCCGCCTTTAAAATGTGTTAAGCAGTGACTGTGTGCCAGGTCCTACACTAAATCCTGGAAAGTACACGAATAAGACTCATTGCAAAGCTTGAGCTTATCCTTCATTTGTTTTTAGAAAACGTATTCATTCTACAAATGTTTCCTGAGCACCTGATTTGCTCAAGTCTCTTAGTAGAGATAAAATACATGGTTCTTCCTCTTACTACATGTATACTTTTTAGAAAAAATCACTTTTCTGGTGACCTACTATGTGCTAGGGTCTGCACCAGCTGCCCGGATACCAAGGGAAACAAAAACATTTGCTTTGATGGAGCTAAATGACTACAAAATGTCCCATTAGTTTCCAAGGACTGCCGTGGCAAAGTACCACAAACTTGGTGGCTT